TTATTTATTTTGAATCAAAGTCTCACCCTGTCACCCAGACTGGCCTGCAGTGGTGGATCTTTGCTCACTGCAACCTCTGCCTCCTGGGTTCAAGTGATTCTCCTGCCTCAGTCTCCCCAAGTAACTGGGACTACAGGCATGCACCACCACAACTGGCTAATTATTGTGCTTTTAGTAGAGACAGGGTTTTGCCACGTTTGCCAGGCTAGTCTCAAACTCCTGACCTCAGGTGATCCACTCACTTCAGCCTCCCAAAGTACTGAGATTAACGGGTATAAGCCACCACGTCTAGCCTCTCTTTTTCCATTCTTGATCCTTAAAAATCCTGATTCAGGGCCAGGCGTGGTGGCTCCTGCCTATAATCCCAGCACTTTGGGAGGCAGAGGCGGGTAAATCACCTGAGGTCAGGAGTTTGAGACTAGCCTGACCAACATAGTGAAACCCCATCTCTACTAAAAATACAGGAAATTACCAGAGCATGGTAGTAGGCGCCTATAATCCCAGCTACTCAGGAGGCTGAGGCAAGAGAATCACTTGAACCTGGAAAGCACAGGTTGTGGTAAGCCGAACTGCACCACTGCACTCCAGCCTGGGTGACAGGGTGAGACTCTGTCTCAAAAAAAAAAAAAAAAAAAAAAAGGCTGGGTGCAGTAGCTCACGCCTGTAATCCCAGCACTTTGAGAGGTCGAGGCAGGTGGATCACCTGAGGTCAGGAGTTCAAGACCAGCCTGACCAATATAGACAAACCCCGTCTCTACTAAAAATACAAAAAATACAAATAACCTCCTGATTCAGCTGAACCGGTGGCTCACACCAGTAATCCCAGCACTTTGGGAGGCCAAGGTGGGTAGATCACCTGAGGTCAGGAGTTTGAGACCAGCCTGACCAACATGGAGAAACCTTGTCTCTACTAAAAATGGAAAATTAGCCAGGCATGGTGGCACGCTCCTGTAATCCCAGCTACTAGGGAGGCTGAGACAGGAGAATCACTTGAACCCAGGAGGTGGAGGTTGCAGTTAATCAAGGTCGCACCATTGCACTCCAGCCTGGGCAACAGGCAAGATGCCATCTCAAAAAAACAAAATAGCCAGGTGTGGTGGCAGACACCTGTAATCCCAGCTAATAGGTAGGCTGAGGTAGGAGAATCGCTTGAACCCACAAGACAAAGGTTGCAGTGAGCCAAAATCATGCCACTGCACCCTAGTCCGGGCAAAAGAGAAAACACCGTCTCAAAAAAAAAAAAAAAGAAGATAATCCTGAATCATATTTTGTGGTTATTAGAAGCATTTAAAAAATATTGTTAGGTATCTGATAAACACAAGAACCTATATATAGGCCAAACGTGGTGGCTCATGCCTGTAATTCTACCACATTGGAGGCCATACAAAAGTGTTACTTGAGGCTAGGCGTTCAAGACCACCCTGGTCAACATACCAAGACCCCACCTCTATTAAAATAAAAAATAGCCGGGCACGGTGGCTCAAGCCTGTAATCCCAGCACTTTGGGAGGCCGAGGCGGGTGGATCACGAGGTCAAGAGATCGAGACCATACTGGTCAACATAGTGAAACCCCGTCTCTACCAAAAATACAAAAAAATTAGCTGGGCATGGTGGCGTGTACCTGTAATCCCAGCTACTCAGGAGGCTGAGGCAGGAGAATTGCCCGAACCCAGGAGGCGGAGGTTGTGGTGAGCCGAGATCGCGCCATTGCACTCCAGCCTGGGTAACAAGAGTGAAACTCCGTCTCAAAAATAAAAATAAAAATAAAAAACTAGGCCGGGCATGGTGGCTCAAGCCTGTAATCCCAGCACTTTGGGAGGCCGAGGCGGGTGGATCACGAGGTCAAGAGATCGAGACCAACCTGGTCAACATGGTGAAACCCCGTCTCTACTAAAAATACAAAAAATTAGCTGGGCATGGTGGTGCGTGCCTATAATCCCAGCTACTCAGGAGGCTGAGGCAGGAGAATTGCCCGAACCCAGGAGGCGGAGGTTGCGGTGAGCCGAGATCGCGCCATTGCACTCCAGCCTGGGTAACAAGAGCGAAACTCCGTCTCAAAAAAAAATAAAATAAAATAAAATAAAATAAAATAAAATAAAATAAAAAACTAAAAAATAATTTAAAAAAATAAAAAATTAAATAAATAATATAAAGTATATACATATACATTCGCAAATACATATACACAATACACAAGTATCACATGCATGTTATGAAAAAAACACCATAAACCCACTACACATTAAAAATTGAAAAAGAATATTAAACATTTTACAAACTGACATGACATTCTTATACAAGGGCTATGCCAATAGAGAGAAAAGACCACCAGACCATTTTTCCTAAGACCACTACACCATACCATCTCACTGAATCCTGTAATCTGTGCTATTAAAACATCTTTTTATATTTCTTGTCCTTTTAAAAGTACACCAGATATTTTTAATTTCCAACACTAAATTAATGGGCAGTCTGTCAAATGCCTACTGGGTTTTATACCAGAAGGGTTTTCTAGATGTATGTATACGCAGAAATGACATCAAAACTTTTTTTTTTTGGTGGGGAGATGGAGTCTCACTCTGACGCCCAGGCTGGAGTGCAGCAGTAGTTCAATCTTGGCTCACTGCCACCTCCGCCTCCTAGGTTCAAGTGATTCTCCTGCCCCACCCTCCCGAGTAGCTGGGATTACAGGTGACCATCACCACGCTCAGTTAATTTTTGTATGTTCAGTAGAGACCAGGTTCCACCATGTTGGCCAGGCTGCTCTCAAACTCCTGACCTCAGGTGATCCGCCTGCCTCGGCCTCCCAAAGTGCTGGGATTACAGGCATGAGCTACCTCCCCTGGCTGACATTAAAACCTTTTTACATAAATGTACTACAAAAATATATCCCCAAACAAGGTAAGGAATATAAATGATTTTTGCCTTCTTTTCAAATCAATAGTTCCTTTATACAAAAACACCAGATGATACAAAACACATTTTTTTCAAGTACAAAGTTGCATATGGAGTGTAAACACTTCATGCTCACTCAAGAAATAAGTACTGGCAAAAACTCTTTGCAATTGGGTAACAAAATTTCACCTTCTAGGAATATGTTTCCCTCTTCCTTGTTCTTTTGAGAGCTGCCACCACGTCACAATTCACAGATTCAATTGAATTAGCATCTCTTCAAGCATGGAGGCCATATATTATTCATTTCTGTGTCTCCTGCATAGGATTAACTCAGCGTGTTTGTTGTAACTAAGCTAAACTCCAAGACAAAAGCTTCAAACCACCTCAGGCCCAGTTCAAAACTGAAAAAAAGATGAACCCATTTCTCAGAGTTTGGGAACAAAAATATACTGACAAAAAACAAAGCTATAGATACTTGTGCTACATGATATTTCACTATCACCAAATTCAAAGTAGTTTACTAACACTGCAGAAACAAGTTTGCAGACGATAAAAAGAATAAATGAAAACACATGGATGCTAAAGTTCTCCTGTCAACATGTTCAAATATTATCATAGACTCCTTCACCTTAAACTCATACTAACATCCTCACCCCCAAACAATGAAAACGAAAGGCTTTCAAATGAGACCTAAATACAAATTGGCTGTATTTCATCACAGTTTAAGTCCCTAAAATCATATACATAAATCACATGATCGTGCTTATGTTCATCTTCTAACTTGAGGGTCCAGTGTCTTTCAACAATCAGATTCTCAGAAGTGACTCCCCAAAAAACTCTAAGAACCACTAATCTATCTAGCCCATCAAGAAACATTCCATTTTCCCGAAGAATACAGTTAGGTTGGCTTAGTTCATGCATTCTTCCCTCACATTCATAGATGGGATTCTTACTATGTATCAGTATTTCAATTCCTTCAGCCCAGCCAAAAAGTTTCAACATCCACAGGCACACATATCAACAATTCCCAGATCCCCATAACAGTTTTCTGGTTTTAATTCCACACTGTTTCACTCAACTTAATACTCACCACTGTCAAAACAACTCCCTTCATATTTGCACCCAGACTACATACAGAGACACCTTGATTATCCTCACCTCAAGGCATGACCATTTATTGAACAGGCAGTCAACAAATATTTGTTGAATGAATGAAAAAGGATCCTTCCTCCCACAGATTTCAAGTTAAGCTCTCAGCACCCATGCAGCTACTCTCCTACAAGTAAAGCTGTGAAAGCCTTCTCTCCCTCAAACATACAAGCTCAAGTGTCAGAAATGCTCTGCTTTCTCCATAAACACAAAATGATATAGTCATGGATATGCATTTAACACAGGTCAGACTGGGCAAGGAAGTCTACGTTCCACATCCATATCTGACACAGTCAGTCTCCTCCAAATACAATCCAACCAGTCATATGTGTTCCTATCTTTCCAAAACTCGGATTTGCAGAAGTAGTCAAAATATAGGAGTTACAGTCCCAACTCTGTCACCAATTTAACATGTGGCCTTGGAGAAGTCCTTTCCTAATGCCTAAATTTCCTATTTTGTAAAACAAGACAGCATCTATCCTACCATCTTCACAGAGATTTAGTATCACAAAGTAACTGAAAGAGCTTTCTTACAATATTGTAGCCTATTACTCTAAACTATTACTGTAAACCCGGGACAACAAATAAGGCCACCGATTCTTTACAGCTTTGTAGCAATTATTCTATTAAAGATATTTTGGGCCTTCACATTTACACGACTCACTCTAACCAAAGACACAAACTCTTCTTAAGCCCACTACTGGCTATGCCAAGTTTCTTCCCTCCCTGACCCCACAGACACATGCTGTATAGAACACTGCCATTACCGCTCTTTCCCAACAAGTAACTAGAGGCTCCCAATCCCTAAAATACACACACATATCAACCTGCAAGGATTCTGCCAACATTTATTCAAGAAATAAGCTAATTTATAGGGGAACGCCATTACACTTATACAAATAAAGGCAAACTCTTCCGGAAACACTTTCCATCCTCGCACACACACTCAAACACAGCCGCTACACAGTAACAGACCATCTGTCCTCTGGACCAAAAACATCTCTTTCCATGTACAAACTAACCAGCGACATTTATTAAACTCGCAACACTGAGATCATCCCGTCGTTCCCACGTACCGTTCACGCGGCAGGGACACCGCAGACCTTGTCGTACAGGTCAACTCCCCTCTCAAGATCGTGTCCTCGAACACGCTTATCCTTTAACTAAACACACACAGACCGGACTACGGGGGAGGCTCCGATCATGCCTTACAAACACAAACTACCCCGTCAGGGGCACAGCGACTCCGCCTCCACTCGCTTACTTTCCAGCCCCCTCCCCGGAGCCGGGAGTCCGCCTGTCAGGGACACCCCTTCACCCCGCCTGGAGGGACTTCCCGGTAGGCTCAGGAACCCCCTCCCTGCTCGCCCTTCCCCCATCTCCACCACGGCTCTCCCGGAGGTCCAGGTCCGGGAGATGACAGTGGCTCCCAGGAAGCCCAGGATTCCATCGCTGAGAGTGTGCTTAGGCCCCAAGGCCCGCCCAGACCGTTCTACTCACCGTGTCGGAGGCCCAGGCCGACGGCGATGAGAGTGCAGGGAAGTGGGGAAGAGGGGGTGGCCGCCAGGCTCCCGGGTCCACGGCGGATTGCTCCCGCTTGTCAGGAGGCGGCCGGCGGGTGAGCGGACTGGCGGAAATGCGAGAGAGGAGAAGGGAAAGGTGGAGGGCTAAAGGGGGCAAACTGAGGGGAGGCGGGTCCCGCAACCGAGACTGGAATCGTCTCCCCCTCCGCAAAGCGAACCCAAAATGGCGGCGGGAGCGGCGGCGGCGGCGGCAGCAGAGCGGCGGCAGCGGCGGCGGCAGCTCCTCCGGAGGGAGGGAGCGAAGGGCGCCTCGCGCCCCCCCACCTCCCACTCCTCCCTCCTCGCGTTCTTCCCCACCGTCCCCCACTCCGCCCGACTCTGGCCGCGTAGCGCGCACGCCTGCCCGCACGCGTACGGGTGTCTCCCGGCTCGTCGCTGGCTGCTCCCACCAACCACCACCTTCGGCCGCCCCGCGCGCCAGCCAGCCCGTACGCGCCCACCCAGGGACACCTCCTCGCGCGGCCCCCCACTCCCCCTCAGGCCCTGTCAAGACGGCTCCGGCGCAGGCCCTCACGCGTACCTTCAGCGGCGCGAGCCCAAGCCTCCTCCTCCTCCTCCACCTCCTCTTCTCTCCTCCCCCCCTTCCCCGCCCCCACGGCCACCAACCGCCGCCACTGCTGCTGCCGCCGCCGCCGCCGCCGCCAGGCCCCCCCACCGTCCGCCCCTCGCGCGTGCGCCTCCCACAATCCCCCCCGCGAGACTGTTCCATTCCTGTCAGCTGCAGGGGCAGGAGAGGGAGGGACAGGCAAAGCGGCTCGGGCTTGCCGTTTGACTGGAATTGCCAGGGTGATGGGCCGAGCCCCAAGACAACCTACCTCCCTTGACTCGTCGCCGCGGCGGTACGGGTCACCTCCCGCTCCTCCTCTCGGGACCGCGGCTAGCCGGTCAAGGGCTGCCTAGCGCCCCTCTGCCGGCCGGCGGTTGGAGGCCGCGGCGGCTGCGCGTTGAGTCGTTTCCTGCCGGACTGCTCGAGCCTTCTTCGCAGTCGCAAGACTGGCGCCTAGGAGCCGACCCTGGGCGGTGTGTGCCGGTTGCCTTGTCGGAAGAACTAGTCCTCGACTCACGGTGAGGGAATGGACCGGCGCGGGGTTGTACCGCTGAGAGAAAGGAGCGGGACTCCGAACTTCCCGGAGGTAGGGAGTGAGGTCAGTAGGACCGGTGCGCCTCCCGGGGGGATTCCTCCGGGGCGCTGAGTTGCCAGCCTGGGACCCGAGGAAGATCGGCGTGGTGGTCCGCTTTTTGTTGTTGTTAACTCGGCTCGGATTTCTCGATTTTCACACCTTTGCCCATATGCAATGTTTGCCTTTGACGCTCCCCATGGATGGTACTTCTTCAGCCTCGTTAGACAGCCTGATGATAGACGATGAAGAATCCATGTGCTTCTCATTCAGTTCTGGACTCAGTTTCCCTTGTCTTCCCCCACCAAGTTGTTTTTCTTAGTTCCTTATCAAAAAGTGTAGATGAAAATTAGGCAACTGCAAACACGCCTCCAGGGTTGGTGTGTGAAATAATTAAGATAATATATGTAAAGTGGAATTAGCTCCTAGGCATAGGGAAAGTGCAGAGAATTGCGGTGTTGTCATTTACAGTTCTGTTGATGTCGATAAGGTTTGTGGTTGTAATTGGTAGTTTGTGTTCTGTTCCTCCAAGTCGTTAATAAAACAAAGCAGGCCGGGCGCGGTGGCTCAAGCCTGTAATCCCAGCACTTTGGGAGGCCGAGGCGGGTGGATCACGAGGTCGAGAGATCGAGACCAACCTGGTCAACATGGTGAAACCCCGTCTCTACTAAAAATACAAAAAATTAGCTGGGCATGGTGGCTCGTGCCTGTAATCCCAGCTACGCAGGAGGCTGAGGCAGGAGAATTGCCTGAACCCAGGAGGCGGAGGTTGCGGTGAGCCGAGATCTCGCCATTGCACTCCAGCCTGGGTAACAAGAGCGAAACTCCGTCTCAAAAAAAAAAATAAATAAAAAATAAAACAAAGCAAAAACAGGCCTGTTAGGTTTCTGTGGCTACTGAATATTTGTTTCTCAAAACACTTGACTGATATTTGATAACTGAATGCAGCAGAAATACGGAGTATTAAAACCCACAGATAATTCCAAAGTTTACTTGATCTAGTAGTTTTTACCTTTACCCAAAGGGTAAAGCAGAATAAATTACGGGAAGCATCTACTTGGGTTTCCCTTTCCTTCACTTTTGTGGACTCCTGGAGATCCAGGAAATAATTCAGAAATTTACTGTTCTAGATTGCTGTCCAAAGCCCATGCAAGGCCAGATGAAGTGGCTCACACCTGCAATCCCAACACTTTGGGAGGCCAAGGAGGGCAGATAACCTGAGGTCAGGAGTTCGAGACCAGCCTGGCCAACATGGTGAAACATCGTCTCTACTAAAAATACAAAAATTAGTCAGGTGTGGTGGCGGGCCCTGTAGTCTGAGCTACTCAGGAGGCTGAGGCAGGAGAATCACTTGAACACAGGAGGTGGAGGTTGCAGTGAGCTGAGATCACGGCATTGCACTCCAGCCTCCTGAGTAGCTGGGATTACAGGGCCCGCCACGATGCCTGACTAATTTTGTATGTTTAGTAGAAATGATGTTTCATAATGTTGGCCAGGCTGGTCTTGAACTCTAGACCTTGTGATCCGCCCACCTCTGCCTCCCAAAGTGCTGGGATTATGGGCTTGAACCTACGTGTTTTGTTTCTTTAAGGTAAACAGAAAAGCAGCCTTCATTACCTCATTGTCTATTTTCCTAACCAAGTCCACACACTTTCATGGAGCCTACTTGGGTTGACTAATCTTTCCTTAGTTGCTTCATGCATGCAAATGTATTACACTAGCAACAACTTTTTTTGAGAGCAGGGACTATGTCTACTATTTCATTTACATAAAACATCATAGGCAAGTGCAAAGCAAATCACAGAAATATTGAAATGAGACCGGGTACGGTGGCTCACGCCTGTAATCCCAGCGAATTAGGCTATTGCACTCCAGCCTGGCTGACAAGAGCAAAACTCCATCTCAAAAAAAGAAAAAGAAGAAGATGAAAAAATATTGAAATGAATGTTAGATACTTAAAATACCAGAAGAGAAAGAGAATTAGCATTTGTGAACTACTGTGCCAGGAGAATGTGTATTCCTGTTTAATCCTTATGATGAGCAACACTTTGAGATAGATAATCTTACCCTCATTTTGCAGAAGAGAAGCCTGAGGCCCAGAGAAGTCCAGTAACGATATTTAGACTCTAGTTTGCCTGTGTCTTAAAAACCTAATTTTTTTCGCTATGCCACATTGTCTTCATAATAAAATTTCTCATCAGCATCATAATTGCTGTGCTTCAAAGAAAAAAATACCTTTAATGGAATTTCACTACACCATTGTACAGGGAGAGTTACTTACATATAGTCTCTGTGTTCAAGTAACTTTCAGTAACTACACTGATTAATTTGTCAGCTACCTATAATCAAATGAGACAGGATTCTGTTCTTTTGTGTATGCCACAGAGCCTACCAGAGACTCAAATATATTAAGTGCTCAATAAAATGACCTCACTGGCCGAGCACGGTGGCACGTGCCTGTAGTCCCAGCTATTCAGGAGGCTGAGGCCAGAGGATCTCTTGAGTCTAGGAGTTCTGGGCTGTAGTGCGCTATGTCAATCGGGTGTCTGCACTAAGTTTGGCATCAATATGGTGACCTCCTGGGAGCGAGGGACCACCAGGTTGCCTAAGGAGGGGTGAATCGGCCCAGGTCGGAAACGGAGTAGGTCAAAACTCCCATGCTGATGAGTAGTGGGATCTCACCTGTGACTAGCCACTGCACTCCAGCCTGGGCAACATAGCGAGACCCTGTCTCTTAAAAAAAAAAAGACCTCACTGAATGAACAAACCCTGAATTGTTTGAACCAACAAAGATAGAATAATGGTTTCTCCAAGAATATCCACTTCTTAATCCCTGAAACCTGTAAATATGATATATTACATGACAAGAGAAAACTCAGGATTCAGAGGGAATTAAGGTTGCTATCAGCTGACATTAAACTAGAGAGATTATCCAGGAGTGAGCTCTCCGCAGTGGCCCTCTTCAGTTGTACTTCTGTAGCTGCCCATGCTTGTGTTCCTTTTTAGAAAGGCAGTAGCTGAAAAGCACTTAATCTTCCAGCACCACAGAAATCCTGTCGAATCCTCCTTTCTTCACATTGGAGTACTTGCCATAATACCTGTAGAACCTCTGAATGTTCCAACAGTGCCTTTTTGTGTAAGATCACGCATTAATATCCAGTTTGGCAGTTCCACTAGTTTGACATCCAGGAGTTTCTTCTTCGCTGATACAGCTGACTCTATCTTGAGGTCCTGGTCTGATATAAACTTTTTTTTTTTTTTCCTCTAACATGGATCATAGGAAACAAGATATAACCTTTTAAAATAAGGTTTCAGGCTGGGTGCAGTGGCTCACGCCTATAATCCCAACACTTTGGACAACTGAGGCAGGAGGCTTGAGGCTAGGAGTTCAAGACCAGCCTGGTCAACATAGCAAGGACCCATCTCTACAAAAAAGAAAAATTAGCTGGGCCATGGTGGGCTGTCTAGGCGTTTGAGGCTACCGGGACCAATGATCACACTATTGCATTCCAGCCTTGGCGAGAGAGTGAGGCCCTGTCTCTAAAATATGAAATGAAATAAGGTTAAAATAGTAAAATTTTTTTTTTTAATTTCTTTTTTTGGAGACCTGCTCTCACTATGTTGCCTAGGCTGGAGAGTAGCTCCTGTACTTGAGGGTGCCTACCACTGCCTCAGCCTCCTTGGTAGCTGGGACTACAGTTATGTGAGAACTTGTTTTTGTTTTTGTTTTAAGATAAAATTTACTAAAGTATGGTCAGGAGTTTTGACTTTACATTTGATGAGTTACGGTAAATGCTGTGTAATCATAAGAGTTTTTTTCTTTGCAGAGTCTCTCGTGCTCTATCACCCAGGTTGCAGTGCAGTGGAGTGATCTCAGCTCACTGCAACCTTGGCCTCCTGGGTTCAAGCAATTCTCTCACCTCAGCCTCCCGAGTAGCTGGGACTACAGGCATGCTTCACCACACCCATCTAATTTGACTAATTTTTGTATTTTTAGGAGAGATGAGGTTTTGTCACGTTGGCCAGGCTGGTCTTGAGCTCCTGGCCTCAAGTGATCAGCCCATCTCAGCCTCCCAAAGTGCTGGGGTTACAGGTGTGAGCCACTGCACCTGGCCAAGTCCTTTAAAAAATTGGCTGGGCCGGGCGCAGTGGCGCAAGCCTGTAATCCTAGCACTTTGGGAGGCCAAGGCGGGTGGATCACAAGGTCAAGAGATCGAGACCATTCTGGTCAGCAAGGTGAAACCCCGTCTCTACTAAAAATACAAAAAAAAATTAGCTGGGCATGGTGGCGCATGCCTGTAGTCCCAGCTACTCAGGAGGCTGAGGCAGGAGAATTGCTTGAACCCAGGAGGCGGAGGTTGTGGTGAGCCGAGATCGCGCCATTGCACTCCAGCCTGGGTAACAAGCAAAACTCCATCTCAAAAAAAAAAAAAAAGAAAGAAAAGAAACCTGTCAGATACAGCCTGGAGTCCAATTTGCTGAAGAGTATCTAGAATATCTGCTACCGTAAGAAGCACTCATAGTCCCTTCCATAGTAGTTTAAGTTTTAAATTGCCCACTGTTCTGAGTAGCGTGATAAAATTTTGCACCACCCTGTCCTGATGTGAATCAACATAACCACACTGTATGTGCCACCCATCTGTTGGTCATTGACATCATCTGCTTTTGACATCCGACTGTGAACATCAGCATGACTCAGTGATTTAGGATGACCCAGAACAGATGATCCCCCTTCTTAGGCATAGTCAGAAAGTCTGTAGTAGCTGAATACTACATCACAATGCTAAGTCATTCACTTTATCTCATCTTGTAAGCATTTTGTCATCTCACATCAACACAAGAAGGGTAAGCTCAATACAATGAGATATTTTTAAGAAAAAGAGAGACCACATTCACATAACTTTTATATAGTGTATTGTTATAGTTGTTCTGTTTTCTTATTGGTTATTGTTCATTTCTTGCTGTGCCAAATTTATAAGATAAACGATTATAGGTATACACCTATAGGAAAAAACTGTGTGTCTGTGTTTGTGTGTGTATTTATTTATGTAGTGATCAGTCCTCTGTATGGTTTCAGGACCCTGGGAGTCCTGCAGTGGATTTCCCAAGGATAAGGGGAGACTACTGTATTTCATTCCTTCTCGCTTCCTCTGTTGCAGAAGACCTAATGCACTTTTAAAACTGGGGAGCTTTGGCCGGGCGAGATGGCTCACACCTGTAATCCCAGCACCTTGGGAGGCCAAGGCGGGCTGATCACGAGGTCAAGAGATCAAGACCATGCTGGCCAACACGGTGAAACCCCGTCTCTACTAAAAATACAAAAAAATTAGCCAGGCATGGTGGCACGCACCTGTGGTGCCAGCTACCCAGGAGACATAGGCGGAAGAATCACTTGAACCCAGGAGGCATGGGTTGCAGTGAGCCAGGATTGCGCCACTGCACTCCAGCCTGATGACAGAGCAAGACTCCGTCTCAAAAAAAAAAAAAAAAAAAAAGTAAAAATTTGGCCAGGCATGGTGGCTCACACCTGTCATCCCAGCATTTTGGGATT